TCCATGCAACCCTTTCAATGTTTCCTTTTCTGCCATGGGATCTCTTAGCAATTCTGCTGCAATGAATGTACCAAATATACAGAGCTGGATCAAACATCCAGAAAAACAAATAAGCTGCAGGCTTCAATAAAAACTTGCCCATATAACAATCTTCTTAAGGGGGAGTGTCACAAGGTGCACACACCTTCCCACCCTCTCGTCACTGTGCTCAGGCTGGTCAAAGAAAGGATCCCAACGACTCTTCCAGGTGTTTCACCTGTGTCTCTTTATTTACAGTGCTTAGTGCAGCCCCAATTCCCCCAACACCAATCCCTACACTGACCCTTCCCTGGGTCTTCTGGCCCCTGAGGCTTCCTGCAGTTGGTTGAGACAGAGCTGTAGTCCCCCTGGCTAGCCTCCTCTCTGAGCCTTTCCCCAGGCTTATATCTCCTCCTAGTGACCAGCATCCTAGTAATGCATCCGATGAAGTGAGCAGTAGCTCACGAAAGGTTATGCTCAAATAAATTGGTTAGTCTCTAAGGTGCCACAAGTACTCCTTTTCTTTTTGCGAATACAGACTAACACGGCTGCTACTCTGAACCCTTTAGCAGGGCATCCAAGGGGTTTATACCTCTGCCCTGCCACAGGCAGTGAAATTCTGTAATCCTGCATACAGCTGTATTTGGCGTGATTAATGCTTCCCCCTTACCATTTCCTAACTTTTTAAATAAATAGAGATATGGGGCAAAAAGAATCCTAACACATTTGTCTATTTCAAACTCTTTCCATTTGACTTTGTTTACATTACCGATTGGCTGTGGCTACATGCTTCACAATGTTTTGCAAAGTTTGCAATCTCTCTGTCTCTCTCGCTCCAAAATTTTATCATCTTTATTGGAATGATATAGGAGAGCAATCAGCTCTGGAATGAGTGTGTCAAATGAAACTTCACCAGGAATTTGACTGTCATAGATAAAAATGTGTTTAAAAAAAACACATAAAAGGTACAGAGAAGGGCAACAAAAATGATTATGGGTGTGGAATAGCTTCCATATGAGGAGAGATGAAAGACTGGTACTTTTTCAGCTTGGAAATGAGATGACTAAGAGGGATATGATAGGAGTCTATAAAATCTTGACTGGTGTGGAGAAAGAAAATAAGCAAGTGTTATTTACTCCTTCATATAACACAAGAACCAGGGTCACCCAGTGAAATTGATAGGCAGCAGGTTTAAAATAAGCAAAAGGAAGTACTTTTCATGCAATTCACAGTTAGCTGTGGAACTTGTTGCACAGGGATGTTGTGAAGGCCAAAATTATAACAGGGTTCAAAAAACAACTAGATGATAAGTTCATGGAGGATAGGTCATCAGTGGCTATTGGCCAAGATGGTCAGGGATGTAACCCTATGCTCTTAGCATCCCTAGTTGGGAGTGGACAACATGGGGCAGATCACTCGACAAACTGCCTTGCGGCCCACCAGTGGATTACCCTGATGGGCTGCAGGTTGCCCACCAATGGGCTAGATCATTGGTCTGACCCAGTATGGCGATTCTGGTGTTCTAAACATATAGGGCCAAATTCTTATTCCTGCTTAAAGGCTTCCCTACTCACAGTCTGAAACTGAGATAATTTAGTCAGTTTTAATTTACATCTTTAGTTATTTTGGTGCAAGTCTGTTTTTTTGGAAATCCTTATTACAGAATAAAATTTCATTTGTTTATTCCCTTGAATTTAGATACTTAACATATCATTGAAATTTTCAGTTATCTCTGGGAACTGAATAGATTTCATTTAGTTCCCTCTCCCCCCCAATCCTTTTTATGTTCTCTTCTTTCCATTCCTATTATAGATCCTTTGTTTTTTTTTCTTTTCATTTTTATCTCTCTACATATTGGATTTTATGTTTTTGTTTTTTGTTTTGCTTTTACCTGCTTCATCTTCCTCATCTTTTCCTTCTCTTACCTCCTTGTGTCCCATGTCTCCTCTTATTGTGGTGCTACCTCCTTATTCTCTCAATAGCCACTTCAAAAGGCAGAAAGCAGCATCTTTTCACAGCATGTGGTCACTAATATTCACTGAGAGAAGGTGTTCCTTGAAGTGCCAATTCAGTGAAGTGGATGAGAGAGAAAGAGAGGAGGTGGGAAGAGCAAGAGTATGAAAGGTGGGAAGGTGGAAAATGGCACAAGGAATAACAGGAACATGAAATTTAGTTTTGCACCTTTACCATTCTTAGAGACTTAAGCAACATCCCAACCCATAATGTTTCCTGGCATTTTACCTTTCTATGCAAAACATAGTTCTTCTGGCTGAGGACTAGACAGAATTTTTGAGTTCGTCACCATTGTGCATTAATCAGCCAAAGACTACATGTTTCCACCCACACAGACATAGACACACTGAACTTCAGGTGCTACTGAACATGATGAGGTAATTCAGTCTGCAGCGTGAGATCTAAAGCATACTAATGTATTGCCCATAATTGGTCTGTGCACCAGCAGGGTCTAACATAGTGAGCTTTAACACAGTACTGTCTACATGGACCAATTTTATGTGCAATATGTTAGTGTGCTTTAGAAATCACACCCTTGTAGAGTTCATTCCACCATGTAGAAAAGCTGTAGAACTCTCATCACTTGCTGACCCCCGGAGACATAGTCATTGTTGACATAGCTCACAGACAGCATTCTTTGTAGATGCAACACAGAATTGATACAACACACTGTAGGCTTAACAAGATTTGACAGTTCTTGAATGCCACTCTGTTCATGTATAGTTTGATTTTTCAAGGATACTGAGAACCTGCAGCTCCAATTGACTTCAGTGGAAGCTACGGTTGCACAGTACCTCTGAAACTATAATGATTGTCTGTCAGTTGCATCCTATCAGATGCAATAGTTAATAATCCTCAAAAGTCAATGACTTAATTTATGCCCCCTTTTACTTCAAATCAATCAAAATATGTATTATCAGTTATAAATAAGAAGTATCGCCTAATGCTTCAACTTGAATCTGGACAGTAGCTCTTTGCTTGTAATCTCGCTACCTTATTTAGTCTCTCAAAGATTAGGATTTTAAAGGAAAATGGAGTTTGTGTAGGGCCTCAGTGTTGTTTGGTTCATGACATCACAAGCAGATCAAAGAAAAATGTTTATAAAAAAAGACACTTTGAGAAGTTTTTCTTAACTGGTCTTCAAAAGCACCTGTTTCCCTGTAGTGACCACTTATTTGCTTCTAGTTGTAGGTCTGCCTTATAACCATGACAGCCATTAAATTGTCATCATTAAGAAATGCAGGTAATTTTTTTTCAAAAGCTCCTAAGTAATTTAGGAGTCTTAAATCCTTTTCCAAAAGTGCCTGAGTCATTTAGGACCTTTTGAACATGTTCACCAACAGTTTTTACAGAAAGTTATCATGTGTAGGTATGAGGTATTGGTTATTAGTGTGAGAACATAACTCTAGGACCTTCAGAGGGGATCAACCCATCCTGTGGAAGGGATTGCGGAAAAAATCTCTCAGGTTTCTCATCAGTGTGCTTTTTGAATTGTTCCACTAGGAATTTTAACAGAGACTAAATAGCCCTTCATACAGCTCATTAATACTTCAGAAGGGCATGATTGGACCTTCAAATACCAAGATACAGTAACTGTGGAAAAATGTTGACTTTTTACTGTTCATCAGTTTAATAATTTATAGAAACAGTTGGTTAATAGCAAAACTCCTATTAATTGATGAATGTATTAAGTCTAGCAGCAACTCTGTGTGAGGTAGGGAAGTATTAGTATCATCCCCTTTTTACAGATGAAGAAATAGAGGAACAGCAAGCTGAAGTGACTTGCCCATAGTCACACAGCAAGTCAATGGCAGAGCCATAAGCAAACTCAGATTTCCTGATTCCTAACCCTGCTTTAATCACTTGACAACACTTCCCTCTCAGATGGCCTCAGTTAGCTTTAATAGTGTCTTGCTTAGCTGGATATTTTATTTAAAAAAAATAAAATGTATTTTTTACATTTTTCCTGAAAATGTATACAGTCCAAAGAAAAGGGAAAGCAGGTTATGGAAAGAGACAAGGGGAAGTCCTTGGGTGAATGTAGAACCTATAAAGTGGAAGAGTGATCTTAATTTCTCTCACGTTTAGAGGGGAGAGAATCTTGCAATGTTCAAATTCTCTGGGAAAAGGAAAAGAGCCCTTGTCTGGGAACCATTTGCATGGCTGGCTGCCCAGAAGCCCTGGACCCCAGAAAGCCCTGGGATCCCCTGCTCTGGGGCAGGCCATATGGCTGGCTGCTCCAAAGCAATGGACCTTTAAAGCCCTGGGGTCCCTGGCCTAGACACAATTTGCATGGCTGTAGCTCCCAAAGCTGTGGACTCAGAAATCCCAGAGTCCGTAGCAATTTGCCAGGCTGGCTGCTGAGGATCCAGGGAGTGAGCTGGCAGGAAACCAGGAAGTTGTCAATGGACATCTGCCTGAGTTATATCAGAATTTGGGCAAAATTGGACCATCTCCACAATGTTCAGATTTCACTAAATCAGGGAATTCCAATAAAACAATGTTTCATCAGAATTGTTGCAACCAGCTCAAGTTATTCCAGCCATTTGGGGCAGTGTAGTGTATGGTAAATAATTGGAAGTAGTAGGAAACACAATGGGCATTAGTAAGGATAGCTTGGGAAGAGAATGAGGTGAAGGAGTGGCATGAAGAAGACAAAGATATAAGTAGGTCAGGATTAGTGTGTTTTGCAAGTGAGAAGTAGTTTTAAAAGGATATATAAAAAGAAAGGGCAGTAGACAGAGGACAGAAAATAAATGGTCATAATGTCAGGGAAGGAAAAGTATTTTGATAACTGAAATTTGAATTAACTGGAATGGAGTATTAGGAAAATGGGTCACATCAGTAAGGAGAAGGCTGCAGTAACTGAGATGAGATTGAGAGGTAGGAGTAATATCTCAAACACTGGGATAGAAAAGAGAATGGATTTTGGAGATGTAGAGAAAGCAATAATAGGATTTGGCAAGGTTCTAGACAGAAGGAAGAGAGGAATTAAAGACAAGGCTATGATTGCGAGTTTAGGCGATAGAGAAAAAAAGGAAGGATGTAGCAGGAAAAGGTGAGGAATTTACTCTTTACCTTGTTCTTTAGGCAACAATATAATTTAGGTATAGTGTTTGTTACATTTTAGTAATGGCAACATCTAGAATCAAGTATGTGTTTATTTTTTTTAATTGTCTAATTTCTGCAGTCTATTTTTGTTGCTGGCTCTGTGTCTAGGTTACCTTGGAAACCATTATGTTGGAGCAGTTTACAGCAGTAACTCTATATATGATGCATGAAAAAATGATGGTTTCAAAAGTTAGGTATGTTTTTATTTGTAAAAATGAGGAAATAAGAACAAATTCTGACATAAAGTTAGAAATGTTCTTTTGTACATCAGTATTGGTGCCTTTGTAAATTGGATAACATCATCTTTTAGATGAAAATATTTGTAGAAGCCGCGTGGCACTGAATATTGCTGGTTTGTTATCTGAAATCCTTTGTAGATGGAGCTGAGGTAGCCAGGAGGGCAAAGGAGGTGAATGTTGGTAATTTCATCCACTGAGGGTGATGAGTTAACAGTTAGGCTGAAAAGATATCCAAGATTTTTTTTTTCCTTTTGCTGTTCATTTATTTTGCAGCAACTTCTTAGGCTTCACATACCACATTTCTTTTGTTTGGTGCACCTGTTTCATAATCTTTCTCCTCATTTGCTGAAATCATGAAAGACCCGAGAAATAGCTTGTTATGAAATGCTGTATTTTAATAAATAAATGGCATTCCTAATCATGATTTATCTTTTTGAAATTTTAATGAAAAGTTCTAGAGATAATGTCTGCATTTAAATTTTAATAGAAGACAGATAATTTCATTCAAAATCTAATATTTACATTTCAGCACTGGGAAGCAAGTTAACTCCTCTCCACAGTTTTAAACCTAAAATTGGGAAGAAAGAACAAAGCACCCACTGAATTTCTGAGCAGTTCTGATTCCAGGGATTGATTCAAGGTCCACTGAAGCCTATGACTTGAATCAGGCCCCTGTATCCATTGAAGTGAGCTGTAGCTCACGAAAGCTTATGCTCAAATAAAATTGTTAGTCTCTAAGGTGCCACAAGTACTCCCCTTTTCTTTTTGTATCCATTCAGTGACTTTCCAGTGACTGCAATGAGTTTTAGTTCAGGCCCCAGGGGAGCAGATGGCTGAGTTTGTCACCTTGACAGGGAAAGGGGGAGTAGGCTGATGACTGGGGAATGTGAAGGGAAAGCACAAAAGGTTGTGTTCAGATCAGACTGGGTGTTCCCAGAACAGGGTGAAATCAGAGTTGTAAAACAGAGGCCGCATAGGCAGGGACTGCACTGGTGAAGGCAGGTTATGGAGCCAACACATGGGGAACACCAGGTTCAGGAAAGGATTGACTGAGAGTGGGGGAGGCCAGTGGGATGGGGAGGAAGGAATGAGATAAGAATTAGAAATGAAGGCAGAAAGTTGAAAGGAAATGAACAGAATTAAAAAAGGGATTCCACGTCTGGAAAGAAAGGAGAGAATAATATAAAGAAGAAATGAGATGCACAGTATTAATAGCTGTAAGGCTAATCCTATATCTAGTGAAGTTGATGGCAAAACTGTATTAATTTTAATGGGAATAAATCAAACACTAAAAAGGGTCAAAACAGAAACTAGATAACTAAAATGAGGAATTACCACCAACATTTATTACAGTTTGAAACTAGATACATTACTATTACAACTGACATTTATTCAATCAAATTTGTCAACAGTCAGTTATTACCCAGATGGCAATGTGGATAAACCAGAGTATTCAGATTGGTTGGATGTTTATCTTCCAAGGCAAGGCAGACATGTTTTTATAACAGTTGCTAATGATTTTGACTTTATTTCATTAGTATCTATAGAACCACCTGGCTAGGGTCTGGACTATCTTTTTACATTATATTATTGCTACCATTGTATGAGTTCACTCAAATAGTCTTTCCATAGCAGTTGGAAAATTCTACTGTTTTCCTTGATTCCAAAGTAAAGTTGGTAGGAGAGAGGGTATTTTTTTGGGGGGGGGGGGGGGGGGAGGGAAGAGTCAAAAATTTCCATCACAAAGTTCAACTTTTTGGTGAAAAATTGCAGACTGAAATATTCTGTTTAAGAAAAGCTGCTGTGATGCCTGATGGTAGTTATAATTCAGATGTCTCATGCTCCCATTTTACTCCATTGGCTGGGCTCCATGGTCAGACTACCTCTTCCGTGATCCACCATGTTCTCCACTCATGGTCAGGGAAAGCAGTTGAATGATGGCACATGTAATTTAATTGGGAAAAATGAGGACTTGAGTAAACTAAACTAAAAATTCCATGGAGCACCATGGTCCAAATATTTAGTGTTTTGGCTGAAATATTTGTTTTCCAGGAGGTTGTTTTTTTGCCCCCTCCTACACCTCCCCCCCAAAAAAAAAGTTTAAAAAAACCACCCGGATTTTTCCATTACATGAAAGAAAAATCAATGGGAAATTTTCAAACAATCTTATTCTAAAGTATAGTAGGATTATTCAATTTCCTAATGTTAAGCTAAGATTATGAAGGATAGACTTTATTACTACAGTTGGTACTGGCGGTGAATAGTAGTATCTTCCTTTGTCTGGATATGTTTGTCTCAAATAGTTGTAGCAGATATTTGATTTTCCTTTACATCGTTATTAATGCTCTAAAAAAGAAGTCCAGAATTTGAGACACTCACAATTTTAACATCTATTTTTCCTTGATCCCATAATATGCTTTTATTTATTATATAGTTCAGGTACCATGCTCACTGAACTGTGTGCCAATTATAATAACTTAAAGAAGTCTTCTAAACATTCTATGACGTGTTGAGTGTTACTTTACAATCCCATGACATTCAAAATCAGTCTTGTTAGCAATCACATCCAGTATCTTTAACTTAAAACTGCTTGTTTTTAAGTAGGAGGAAGGCATTTGTTAAAATAAGAACAATCACAACAGCATTCTATTGGGAAGATATATATTTTGGGAGCTGATCCATGTGAAGAATTGAAGTTTTACATGTTTTAAGATCATTATCCAATAGCATAGACAGGGAAGGAATGCATGTTAGAGAGATGAAAGATGACCTACATAGGAATATTTCTCTAAGAGCTAAATATAAACATTTCATCTTATGTAAAAATAGGAAGAAACTGATATAGTATTTGGCACAAGAAAATGTTAAGTTAAAAGATGGAGGTTAAATTTCCTGCCTTTAAAAAAAACCACACTTTTTATTAAGCCAAAGTTACAATAAAACATACAACATCCTATATTACTTATTCAGGGTCAGGTTAATGTTCAAAGAATCTGGCTAAAGATTCTGGCTTTCTGTCTGAAAGGCCTTTTCCTGCCTTAATATAAATGGATTTAAAAATCCAGGATTCCTTCCTCATGCCTTAACCTTTCAGCACAAATAACTTATGTATGTTGCTCTTGCCGCTACCATGAGAATTAAAAATACCATGCTGCAATTACACTGCAGATCAGAAAGTTAATATCAACGGGTAGTCTTGAGATTTTCCATTTGAGACTTCCCCCAGTAGCTAAGGAGGGTGGAGGCAGATCCAGGCCCACCAACTACTTCAGGTCCCAGCCAGGGACCACACAGACAGCAGCTGTCTGCTGTGTCCCTTTATCTGAGTTACACCACTACTCTGATTCCCTGGGCCACTTCCCCATGACTCCGCACCTTCTTCACTCTCACCTCAGGGCCTTGTCCTGATGGAGTCCCAGCAACCAGCACAAAGGTTTTTCTCGCTTCTACCACCATTGCTCTGTTCAAAGTCCCATAGCTCCACCCGCCCACCTGCCTGCCACACACCCTCCACCTCCAGCAAGTAGCTGGTCTTACTCTAGCCCTGTAGCTCTTCTTATACTACCCGGCTGCTCCCTGCAGCCCCTTTCTGATTGGCTGTGTCCCACACAGCCACTCTAGGCAGCTTGGAGGACCCTCTCCACTGACCTTTTCTGGGGTGGGGTGTGGCAGGGCCATGAGGACTTCTGCAGGGGCCTCAGAGGGTCTGGTATACCATGTCACAGGCCTTTAGAAAAGTGGTATGGGTAATCAGTTAAGCAGTTGCTTAAATAAGGTTTGTTTTATACCCTTTCTTTCTTACATTCATCACAACTGAAAAAAATAAAATTTTGGAAGTTTTTGTTTTCTGCCTTTCCCCCCTCCTTCTTTCTTTTTCCCCACTGAATGCAGCAGAATGAATTATATCCAATCCATGTTTGTGTTTTCTTTCTTTCTTTTCTTTTAATCGCAGCTTTTCGGGGGTACGGGAGTCTCCCTTTTTTTCTTTTCATTTTCCTCAAAGAAAAAAAAATCCAACTGGCTCTAGTAAGAATTATTCCCATTTACAGGTAGAGCAACAGCAGAAAAGTGAAATGACTTACCCAAAACTGCATTGAGTCAATGGGAGAGCCAGGGTTAGAACTGACTCCTCAACTTGTGCTTATTCCTCCAATGCACACTGTCTTACAGCCTTAACATTACCAGAGAACCAGATTACAGAACCTGAATTATCTCTCATTAGATTAATTCCATGGAGTTGCTCCTGATTTCCACTGTTTAAGTGAGAGGAAATTTGAGTGTTTTGTATCAGTAGGTCTGCAATAAAAAAAAAAAAATGTGAATCTGATTTTTTTTTTTAAAGTCAGCTGTAGTTGTGATATTTTGGTAATGTTTAGTCAAAATAAATGGGGGAAAAGAATAGGATAATTGTTTATTTCCAGACGTGTTCAATTACACCGAATTGTTATGTGTAACATAGTTTTATATCTAATCATGTTGTAAGAGAAAGCAACCTTGAGGTAATGAAAGAAGAACATTCAATATACAGATTGGATGAGATTTATCATCAACATAGAAAGCAATCATCTAGTACACATTTCCTGGGGGGATATTTTTGTTTTGTTTTTATTCTAGTTTGTGTAGTTGCTGCAAGCAGACTATAAAAATTATTTGTGAGTACTTTAGCGATGGAAATATACTCTCTTTTTTTAAATGAGTTCTTATTTAA